AAAAATAATCAATGAATTAATAAATTAATGGAATACTTTATTATAATTATTAATTACAAAAGTCTGATCAGGAGACGATAAACATGATCAGGAAAAAAAGAACCACAACCGGTTCTTCTGCGGCACGTACAAAATATCGAAAAAGAAATGTACATTCATTTTACCAATTATAAATTTTTTTCTTCATTTATAATAATAATAATATTTAATAATTAACATTATAATCATTTAGAAACGTGCTGCTCCTCCTGGTAGATGTCATTCGTGCAATATCTCTGAAACGCCGGAATGGCGTAGGGGTCCTGATGGAGCAAGAACTTTGTGTAATGCCTGTGGATTGCGTGAGTTTTTTTTTTTATTTTTTTATTTTTTTATTTAATTATGATTTAATATTTAAATAATTTATTTAAACAATGATATTAGATTTTGCCAAATTGACAAGAAAACGGCAGCGAAGATGATTATGATTATTAAAAGAATTAATGGACTAATGAATGAATTCCAGTCGACTGAAGAATAGGATTAGAGAAGTGAAATTGTAATAGACAAGTATAAATAGAATGGTGCGGAGTAGATAAAGAAGCCGAAGTAACATGTAACGAAACCATGGATTAACTTGTTGACTAACTAGTTAATTATTAATTAGTAACTTTTTGATGTTTTTCCGCAATAACAAGTTATAATTTATTTACTATTATCTCACTATATTACATTTGATTTAATTTGCAATTAAAGTAACAAAGAAAAAAATATTCGATTTATTTATCAATTAAACACAAAATGCAATTATATGATTAATTCAAAAAATAATCTTATACTATTACTAATTATAACATTTTTTTTGAATCTAGATAAATCAACAAAAAATCAAATTGGTTATTTTCATTATAAATAAATAATAATAATATTGATGCATTATGATTCAATCTTTTTTTTACGCCCAACGGTAACTTGCAGTTGAGGAAAGGTATTATTATCATTGTACACGAAAGAATTATATTTGATGGGAGAAATAAAAAATATATAACAAACGCGCGTTGTAATAGTTGTATATTTTTTATGTTGTACAAATTTATAATACTCAAAAACTATAACGACGATTTTTATTTATTGAGTTGTGTGTTATTATTATCATTAAATGACTAAAACGATTATTATTATTTATTATTTGTTTTGTTGTTGTTGCTGTTGTGCATTAAGAATTTTTTTCTTGTTAAAAGGGAAAATTGATTAAAATTGCAAAAAAAAAAAAAGCAATTAGCATTTTATGTAACAATTATTTATTAATTTTTGAAATTAATTATTATGCTAATTAATTTACAAATTTTATTTAGTAGACTGTTTAATTATTTATTGATTATTTATTTTATCAAATTCAATTCTGCATACATTATAAATACACACAAATTAAAGTTGATTTTTTGTACTATGGAATTCTATTCTAGTATCAGGATCTGGACCAAAAAAAAGAAAATTTTTGTAAACAAAAAACATACGTCTTGCCTAATCATTTAACGCATTCATTCATTTTATAAATTAGTCAATGAGCATTATCAAAATGTTATT